GCTGTTGTGCATAGGGTCGCTATGAGTCGGAAATGACTCAATGGCACATAACAACAACAACAACAATGAATCCCAAGAACCAGGAGGTCAGATGATGAGGAGCCAAATGCAGGATCAGGAGAAAGAAACAAATTTTGCCAGAATGGTGTGTGTGTGTGTGTGTGTGTGTGTGTGTGTGTGTGTGTGTGTGAATGAATGCAGGTCATGCTCCCAAGAAAACACCCTTACAATTGACTCATGGGATCGATCACATCATTACTAAGAATTATAGTCCAGTCAAATTGACAAATACTTTGAGTATCACAGAGGCCTTGAAACTAGGCATTCACTTTGCCTCTTGGTGAATGTAGGTCTGTCCTGGCATCTTTCTCCCCCAAAATAAACCCACTTTGCGTAGTGTATGTGCCAGCACATATTCTTCATTTTGTATTGTCCAGCTCATCCTTGAATTTTTCAACAGCTTCAACATCAGTGCTTCCTGCTCTTCCAGTTATTAGCATGCCATGTAAGCCAGATCTGCTTTCAAAACCATGAAACCAACTCTTGCTGGCTTTCAAGCATGTGGGGTGGTTGTCTTCTCTTGATGTTTCTTCAGGCTTTTAGAAAGGCTGAGAACTCCCGAATAGTCAGTAAGCTCATAGGAATCCTCTTTTGGATTTGAACTTCCAAATCATTAATAGGATCTCCATCTAGTGGGCCTCTTCTTTTTTGAGGCAAGGGTGTAAACTCTTGATTATGCTAGTTGCTCTTTTTATTGTCAAACTCTTATTAGAGGTGCAATCCACAGATGCTGGTCATCACCACCTATGTTAATCAACTTTTCCCAGTACAATTGAGACTGCCCAGGTTTTAAAACGGAAAATTTCTCCTGCCAGAAACCCTCCTGGTCCCGGAAAAAGCTTAATGGTTGGTGACTCTACAATAGACAATAAAACACTTGCGGTGATTCAGTGAAGCTTGAGTGGGATGAGTCACAGGGAGGAGGGCAGAGTAGGAAGTAAGGATGGTTGGTCTCTGGCAGGTTGGCACATCTTTGCTTACTTTTAACTTTTAAGCAGAGGAGGCTGGCTTGTCCATTCTGCAGCAAAAGGAGCATGTTCCTGAGTTCGTGTCTCCTCCCTACTCTCATGCACTTGCTAGCCACCTCACTTTGACAAGGAGGCTTGAGAGGCGAGTACCTTCTGAGCAATGTTTGAGATCCTTCTGTAGATGGTTGGAATATCTGATTTGGTTCAGCCTCACAGATGAGCCCGGGTTGAATGGGGTGTCTCCTGGAGGACAGAGGAAACCCCTAGAAGATTAAAGGGCCCTCACTCGAGGTCGTGAGTGGAACCAAGCAGATAGCTTTTTGCAGCTTTGGAAAAAGGAGTTCTTTAGCCCAACTCTCCTTTTTCCTGCTGTGAACAATAAAGTGGAGCAGCCCAACTGCTCACTTTCTTTGAAATTCTAAGACAAATAGAAGACAAAATAACAGATGGCTTTCTCCCCGCCAGTAGCGGCAGTTCTAAAAGGTTCCCTACAAACTGCAATGCTCTGCTTGCTCCTGAGCAGAGGCCTGCTGAGATCTTAGAGACAGGGCTTCATCTCACGAAAACCCAAACAAGAGTGCCTTCTCCAGGACTCCAAACCAGGGGCCTGCTGCAAGCTGGGATGCTTGGGTGAGCAGCAAGATGCCCAGGATGCAGGGAAGCCACACACAGAGTGCTCGGCTCAGAGCCAACCCACATCAGCTTCAGTCTCCTCTGTCCACTTGGGATAAGCAAGAGGTCGACCATGAGATCCCACCAGAATGAAACCAGAGACAATACCGAGGACCAGGAAGCAGGGAGCTCTGGGCGGTCAGGGTACAGATGGGCATAGTTGAGTCCTGTGGGTGGGCTGTCCCCCTTGCTATAGCAAACAAGAGTTTGAGTTGCACCAGCATGCAGAACTTGCCTTCCAGATCTGGTCCAATCCGTTTATTAACTGCATCAGTGCTAAGAGAAGTAAGTCTAGGGCATCTTTCTGGAGGTTCATCAGGTGTCCCTCGAGCAGCTCTTTCAGGTTTAAATGAGAAAAGAGACTCCTGAGTTTGGACGTCCTGTCCCCAGCCTGGTATTTGACTATTTCTAACACGAGTTCAGCTCGTATTCTACACCTTTCCTGTTGGGATCTCTCTGTTGACATTTTGCCTACCCCTAGCCCTTACTCACAGAAATTCAAGCTCTGCTGACAAACTGAACGAATTTAAGTACCAACTCTGCTGCTGCTGCTGCTACTGTTGCATTTCTACATAATTAATTGTGCCACAATATCCACTAGAACTTCATGCAGTGATGGAAACGCTCTCTAATTCTATACTTGCCAATATGGTCACCACAAGCCATTCTATTGTGACCATGCAAGAGATACTGAGCACCTGAAATGTGACTAGTGGGAAATAATGTTGTTGTTGTTGTTGTTGTTATGTGCCGTCGAGTCGCTTGAGACTCATAGCGACCCTGTGTACAACAGCCCTAAACCCTGCTCTATCCTGTGCCAATCGCATTGCCTCTGACACACCCATCCTGATTACCCCAGTCACTGAATCAGTCCACCTCATAGAGGGCCTTCCCCTCCTGCGCTGTCCCTCTACTCTCTTCAGCATGATGTCCCTCTTTAAAGATTTATTTCTCCTTGCAACATGTCCAAAGTATGTCAGACGAAGCCCCAGAATCCTTGCCTCCAAGGAGCAGCCTGATTTAACCCTCTCTAGGATGAATCTATTTGTTTTCTTGGCAGTCCATGGTACATTCAATACTCT